ATCCAGGCTCTGTCCAACTTCATCTCATAAAAAGAACTTTGGCTTAGTAATCAGTAGTTCTGATGCTATATCACTTAATTCTCTGTGAACTTGGCCATGTTGGTCCCCTTTTCTGGGCTGAAACTGGCAGTCCAATGCTGCCTGCCATTCCTGCCTGCTGCTCCTGGTCATCCTGGCCCCACTGCTGCTGCTCAGTAGGCTCGCTGCTGCTCTGCTACGGTCTCTGGGTTGTGGCAGCCAGCCATGAGCCCTACATCTGGCACCCGTTGGTCAGCTGAGTGACACTCCCGCTGTAGGAGCACACTGAACACCAGGGGGCAGCTCCTGTTGGTCAGTGTGCACTCAAACGGTCACTTAGGCTTTTATATATAAAGCTCTTTTTGGCGCCAATAGCATGCATGTGTTTCCATCTGTCATTGTTGATTGTGAATTTGGTTGACACTTCTATTATAGAGAAAGGGCAAATAACGATATTAAAATATTTCTTCTAATTTCGTTTCAATGTGCACAAATTCATGCACTGGGCCTCTAGTAAATAATAAATCAGTTTCTGCTCTCAAAATGCTTACAGCTAGCTAAATTACTGGTTCTTAAACAAGGGCAATTTTTACCCACAGGGGAGATTTGTCAATGTCTGGAGATATTTTGGGATGTCACAACTGAGGGGTGGGGGTGGTGCCACAAGCATCTGGTGGGCAGAGGCCAGGAATACTGCTAAACATCCTCCAGTACACAAGATATGACCACAACAAATAATTTTCTGGCCCAAAATGTCAAGAGTGTCCAGATTGAGAAACCCTGAGTTAGAAAGACAAGCTACATACATTAGAAGTTGTTGTTTTTTTATTACAAGATATTAGGTGATAACAGTTAAATGTGTGATATATACAAGGTGATAAAAATAAAAGAAAGGTCATTATAATTCAAATTATACTTCAAAGCAACAATAATGAAAACAGCATGGTATTGGCAGGAAAAACAGACTCATAGACTAATGGAACAGAATTGAGAGGCCAGAAATAAACCCACTTGCATATGGGCAAATAATTTTCAACAAAGGAGGCAAAAATATACAATTGGAAAAGGAAAGCCTCTTCAATAAATGGTGCTGGGAAAATTTAAAAGCCATATGCAAAAGAATGAAAATAGACTGACCTTTATCATGCAAAAGAATGAAACTAGACTGATCTTTATCACCCTACATAAAAATTAACTCAAAATAGATCAAAGACTCAAATTAAGACCAGAAGCAATAAAATACATAGAATAAAACATAGGTACTAAATTTATGGATCTTGGTCTCAGACAGGATTTTATTAATTTGACCTCAAAGGCAAGAGAAGTAAACATAAAAATAATTGAATAAAGCTATTTCAAACTAAAAAGCTTCTATGCAGCAAAATAAACTGTTGACAAAACAAAAAGGCAAACCACCAAATGGGCAAAGATATTTGTAAGCAAAACCTCTGATAAGGGGTTAATATCCAAAATATATGAAGAACTTATACAAATCAACAACAATGACACCAAAAAAAAAATCTAATTAAGAAATAGGCAGAGGACCTAGACCAGTGATGGCAAACCTATGACACGCATGTCAGAGGTGACACACGAACTCATTTTTTTTTGGTTGATTTTTCTTTGTTAAGTGGCATTTAAATATATAAAATAAATATCAAAAATGTAAATCTTTGTTTTACTATGGTTGCAAATATCAAAAAAAAATCTATATGTGACATGGCACCAGAGTTAAGTTAGAGTTTTTCAAAATGCTGGCACGCCGAGCTTAAAAGGTTCGCCATCACTGCACTATACAGTTGAAGTGTTATAGAAATGTACATTTGTAACCTATATAATTTTATTAACCAATGTCACTCCAACAAATTTAATTTTAAAAAATTCAAAAAAAACAAAGGTCATTCTAGAATGAATTGGTATGGGAGGCTTCATGAAAGAAGTGGGACTCAAGCTGTAATATGTCACTCTTCTCAAATCAGAGGAAAGCCTACAGAACCTGGCTACTTTTCTGACTTCATCTCCTACCATTGTCCCCTTACCCCTCCTCTGACTTTTTCATTTCCTTAAAAATATCAAGTATTTTCCTGTCTCATAAAATCTGCTTTTACTGTTCCCTGTGATTCAAGCATCCTTTCCTATAATATCTATATACTCACTTCCTATAGGTCTCTGTTCTGTTCAATTTCTTAATATCTAGAGCCCTACCCTAATCATGCTCTATATAAAATATTAATTCATGCCTCATCCACTTCCTTTCCCCTTATGTGTTTTGGTCTTCATAGCAAGACTGTACCTGGCCCAGAGCAGATACTCAAGAAATATGTGTACAATGAATGAATTCATTAAATATAAATAATGGCATATTCTCCCATCCCAAGCAATGAGAAAAAGCTTGACTAAAGGAGCATGAGTACTGTTATCCCCATCTCCTTAGAATAGTGCCCGCCTCATAGTAGGGACTTCATAAATCTATCTATATAATAGGCGAATATGCAAAGTGTCCCCACGGGAGTTCAACCAGGAGACCGGGAATTCTATTGTTCACTATGATGTGCGCTGATCACCACGGGGCAGCACAGAAAGAAGACAGACCCTGGCCGGAAGCTACCAGCCAAGGAAGGGAGGCCCTGCTGAAAGCCAGAAGGCCCCGATTGGCCATGATCACCAGCCAGGCCTAGGGACCCTACCCATGCACAAATTTCGTGCACTGGGCCTATAGTAGTAAATAAATAATGATGAAATAGAAGCAAAGGGAGACTAATATAATTAAAAGAAGCCTATAGCCATCTTCGAAATGAATTCTTAAGGCAATTACTACATTCTTTGTATACTAATACATCTGGGTACATATAACATGTTTTATTTTCAATTCTGGCTATTACCAGCTTTCTCACTTTACATTCATTCCATATATGGTAGGTCCTCAGGTTAGGTCAGAGATCCATTCCTATGGCGCAACATAACGCAATGTTTGCTGTAAGTCAAAACCCACCTACATAAGCACCTACGTCACTCACATGGAGCACATACACAGCAGTAATAAAGTGAAACAATAAAAAAAAAAAGAAAAGAAAGATAACAATTCCTGACCTTTACTTGTGGTAAATAAATAATAAAAAACATAAAGCACATATGTACATATGTCAAAATGACGGAACTTTATTTTTTTATAAATAAATGGGAGATGGCAACATAACCACAAAACGACGTATGTTGAGTCCAACGTAACCCGAGGACTGTCTATATATTCTTTGTAGTTTAGAGATAGTTTCTGAAATTCTATATCCTAGCTGTACGTTAAGCCAGGTATTGTTTAAAACATAAATACATTTTTAAATTTATGTTTATTGTTGAAAGTATTACAGATGTCCCCATTTTCCTCCTTTTTACCCCCTTCACCCCGTCTCACCTCCTCCCCCCACAAGCTTTCACTGCAGTATTATCTGTGTCCATGGCATATAAATTATTTGGTTAATCTCTCCCTGCCCCTCCTCCCCACTTGGCAGCTTTTTAATTTTCTGTCTTCATTTGCACTTAATCACTAATTCATCCGCCTGCACTCTACAATTATACTAATGATAATAGCAATCGTAACTAACATTTATGGACTTTTTGTGTTAGAAATTGTCCTGAAGGCTGTGGATATATTATCTGGTTTCAATCATACTACAGGAAACCCATGTTATCACATTTATGTATATTAACCAACTCTAATTTACTTTCTGTTCCTGGTCCAAGGCCAAACCCCCGAAAACAATGAGAAATGATTACTTGCACCCCACTTCCAGTCACCTTCTCTTTTACATTGCGTCTGGGGTCCATCCTTTCTTGAAGAGTCACTGAGTGCTCCTCCCCCTCCTTCTTGTTAAACTTTGGCAACCATGGCAACCAATGCTTTTCCTGGTAGTCCGCAGGTAACGCGGCCACCAGGGGTCGGAGGTCCCGCGACGTAACCACGCGTGCGTGCGAAGCCTAGTAACCTGACCTCTAAGTTGAGAGCGCGCCTACCAAGGGGCGGGGCTAAAGAGCTGACGTGTGCGCGCGCAGATAGTGACTGAGCGGGAGCTTTGGCCAGTCTGAGGAGACAGAGTAGTGTTCTTCGTACTCTCGCTCGCACGCGCTTGCGCTTCTTCTTAGTCTCTCAGCTTTGGACGGGGCAAATTAGGTTTTGGGAATGAAGAGTGTACGCAATTTCCTCACCATGCCTGGTGAGTTAGACCAGCCTCAGGCAGGCGCCTCACATGCTGGGATGGTCCGGCAGGATTCTGAGGTAAATGGGCCTTGGGTCCCGGGAGGAGTGAGGCCTAAAGCCGGTGCCCTAGGGCCGAGGTCCTGGATCCAAACAGTTCTTGAGCAAGTAAGAGACTCGCCTCTCCAGTGGGTCACCCCCTCGGAGGTAGCTCCTGTCGCTGTGCTGGCCGTCCAACGGTACCTGTTAGAAGACGAGCCGGGAGACATACTTCCCAAACCGTCCCGTTACGGCTATGATGTGACCATCTCAGACGGGGTGTACCAGGAGAAATGCTGCCTCCATCCCAGACTGAACTTCCTGGTGTCTAAAAATATCCTGAGACCTGGCATCAAAATGAGAATTTTCAGAGTCTCGTGTCTTTACAACGAGAAAAGGTTAGGCCAGGGAATCCTGTGCATTGATAACATCGACTGTAAGGAGGAGACCTTGGACACCATTTCTTTAGCAACTCCCTTCAGAAATAGTGCGCACCAGGAAATACCGGAAAGACCCTTAAGAGGCGGGAAGAGTCATTACCTGGCCCTGTGGAATAACGAAGACCCATATGGAGATATCTGGTTAACGAACAAGCAACCTGAGGAATACAATTTCAACAGTAAGTAATTGGAGGAAACCACGGGATGGGGTGTAAAAATAGTTTTGGGGTGCTTATGTTAATGGGAAAGGAAGTGGGAATGTCTTGGTATTGTTTATTGGAAGTGCTAGACAGTTTTTCCTCAGTGACAGGGAGACGCTCGCTTAATGAAATTTGCACAGCCCTTGTCTTGCTTTGATTGTATAAGTGGCTGTTCAGAAAGTGTCTGAATAATCTTAATTTTTAAAAATTACATCTTAAACTGATCTGTCAAACTTAGGGGTGTTGCAGTCAGTAGTCCTAAGTGATCATTGTACGTTTGACCAGTGGAATTGATCTTAACGTCATTACCATTCCAGTTGTGGAAATAGTACTGTGTTGGTTAGAGTGTCTATTAATTTGAATTAGAAATAAAAAGTTGTAAATATTTGTGGTTTTGTGTGTTTTGACCTTCATTCAAAAAAGAATGTTCTATGATTTATTCCTTAATAATTTACATTAATGAAATGCCATTTTATGTCTTTGAGTGTAGCAGTTATGTAAATAATTGCTTTTTGAACTTGTGATTTTGTGGAAAGACTTGAAATTCTCATGTTTATTTTTCTTATGACCACGGGTAATGCTGATCTGAGTTCAATTCTTCTGGGTCAGAGATAGGAAGTTAACTTGAAAATGTCAGCTGGTCATCAGCAACAGCTCTAAAATATGTTTTATCTTAAAACAATGAAGTAAAGGGAATGATTATATTATGGGCATGTACATGTATGGAATGGGGAAGAAATAAAAATGGAAAAAATACAAGCAAAAGTGTTAGAGGGAGAAAGACGATAATTTCTACATTACTGTTTTTCAGGTGTTTGGGATTTTGTTTTAGTTTTTGTGTTGTTTTTTTTACATTGGGCTCATAATACTAGACCATAGTTAATCTTACTATGATGTGTAACAGCAACAAACTTGAAAGTGAAAAGATAACTGCTTCAAAAATATGCAGTTCAAGTGATATTCAGTTGTAAGGGGGGGGGGAATGTTACAGAAATGGGTAGCCAATGGTTATTTAAATAACTTAAGTTTTAAAGGCAAGATAGTAGTTTCAGAGATGAACTAATGGAACGATTTTTTATCTCAGTGGTGCATTACTATTATAGGGGTTGATCATTTTTATTTTTAGAATTTAATCTATAAATGAAAAATGGTACTCTAGAAGAATTTAGGCAATAATAATTTGCAAAAATTGGATTTCACTTTTCTGATTATGAAAGTAATATATGTTCATTATTGAAACCATATTTTTATTACAAAAGGCAATGTCCATGTGCTAAAAATCCAAAGGTTTAAAAAAGTACATTGTATTAAAAATTTAAGACCCACATACAGTAAAATTTTGATGAGAAAATCTAGAAGTAGGTATATTGGTGTTCTTTCAGGATTGCTATATGTTTGAAATTTTTAATAAAATGTTGGGGTGGAATGAAAGGCCCCTTTTACCTCCTTCTATGCCTTCAGCTTTCTTCTCAAAACTCCAAATTGTCCGCCATTTGGTGTGTAATTTTACAAAAAAATAATTATTTGGTGTCACATGATTTGCAATTTCCACTTATCTTAAACATTTTTAATGACATCTTCATACACTCTTCCGTGTTATGGATGTATGATGATTTATATAATCACTAGAACCCCCATGCATGAAATTCGTGCAAGGGGCTCAGCCCTTGCAGCCCCGGTTGCCTTGGCTGGCCCTTGCGACCCCAGCTGAACGTCCGGAAGGTCATTCGGCTGTTCTATATAATATGTGGATATATGATATATACACACAATCTATGACATATATAGGATTCCCATGTAATGAGTAATTTTTAATTTTAGGAAGTTGGTGTGGTGTGTTTTTTTTTCAATTTTAGATCCAAGGCTGAACATCATTAAGATATATACATATGTGCTCACTGTGTTTAATTATTTCTGTTGAATGGATGGATTCCTAAAGTGAAATTGCTTGTTTAAATATTTGGCCCTAGCTGGTTTGGCTTAGTGGATAGAGCGTTGGCTGTGGACTGAAGTGTTCAGGGTTCAATTCAGGTCAAGGGTACATGCCCGGGTTGTGGGCTCAATCCCCAGTAAGGGGCGTGCAAGAGGCAGCCAATCAATGATTCTCTCTCATCATCCATGTTTCTATCTCTCTCCCTCTCCCTTCCTCTCTGAAATCAATAAAAATATATTTAAAAAATAATCATTTCTCTTGATAATTATAAAATATAAGCCTAAGAACTTTTCAAAGATACTTTTTTGTTTTACATTCTCTTTGTATGGTACCATTTTGCTATGGTTGCGTTCTTTTTGTTCACTTATATCTGATATTTTAACCAATAAAATATAATTTTGAAATTACCACGAGATATTAAGGAGGATTTTTTTCTTTTTTGTATTCTAGATACCAAAATAATTTCTCTTGCTCACCTTGAAATGAGCTGGACTAAGAGGACGAATTATCCTGCTTTGCTTGTGAGAATCATGTATAAATCAAGACTAAGATACTATGGAAAACCCGATAAAAAGATGATTGAGCCATACCAGGTATAAATAAGATAAGCGAGTACATGTTAATTTAACAGGTATAGGTTATAACTTACAGAACTGACTCCATATTAGAATAATGTATGTTTAAATAACATTTTAACTTAAATTTAATAATTTTTAAAATGTACATAGATGTTTATTTGAAGGTATTTTTCTAATGTAATTTCTTATAAAAATAAATTCTTTTTGTATTGACAACCTTTAATTCCTTGATCCAGCCGGTCTCCTTCACACCTTTTTATATATCTTCAACCTTTTCCTCTCTACTGTGCTTTCCATACCAGAATATAAATATACTTTAGTCTCCCATTTTAAAAAAGGAAAATAGATTGTTAAGGGCAGGAAAAGAGGGAGACATATGTGATGCTCTTTGTGATACTTTAAGCAATAAAACAATTAAAAAAATAAAATAAAATAGGAAAGTTAAAAAGAAAAAGGAAAATATTTATCCTTTAACCTCAGATTCCTCTATTCACTCTCTCCTCTTCAGGGAAGCTCCTTGAAGAAGTAATCTACACTAGATGTTTTCACTTACTTGCCTCTCATTTACTTCTCAACACAATTAGTTTGGCATTTTCCTTCAACTGGTCACTCACTAGAAACCTAATTGTCAAATCCATCTGACACGTTTCTGCTATCTTGACTGTCTGTGCCATATAACGCTGATGAGAATACTTTCTTGATTTCTGTCCTTTTTTACTTAATATTTTACTTTATATTCACTGTTATCAAAAATTATTTTGGGTGTTTCATTCAACTTTTAAAATAAAAGTTGTGTATTCTTTTAAAGAATTTGGAAAATGTAGAAATCTATATAAGTAAGACTGATAAATAATATCACCCCAAATCATACCAGAATCACTGTTTGCATTATAATGTGTTTTATTCCTTTTTGTATGTATATATCATATATCCACACACATATATTCTATATATGCACATATCTATGATATCATGTGTATAATATATTTCATATTTATTTGTATATGTATGCATGCATGTCTTATACTTCATATGACTATGTCATTTCGTATTAAATTAACTTACAAACTGGCAATTATATAGCACATAAAATTTTATATTAGTCAACATTTTCTTAAGTATTTTCTAATATCACTAAAATTTCTTCATTATGACTTTTCATAGTTATAGATTCTTTCATATATCATAAATTATTTAGTCATTCCCCTACAGTTTTACTTCCTCAGTCTTAAAATTTTAACAGCCTGTAGATAAAAGTAACAAATATGTGTGTGCTTTTACTCATCTTTTCAGACCTTTTTGGAAGTTGCTGACAGTTCAGGAACTGTATCAGTGATCATGTGGAATGCCCTGTGTCCTGAGTGGTATAAATGTTTGCGGGTTGGCTCAGTTCTTCTGCTTCAAGATTATTCTGTTAAAAAGAGTTTTCCATTCAGGCTGCAGCCTCTCCCTGTGGATCCACAGATCAAACTAATTTCTACTATGGGTTAAGTATTCAATGCATTTTGTTTCTTTTATGACTATATATTTTTTTTATAAATCTGCAAAGTACCATATCAGCCAAAGACTCTTAAAAATTACTAAAGCTGTTAGAACCTGACAAACCTTTAAATTCCTGTATCGATAAAATTTCCAATCAGTCACTTAATGGGTATATTTATTTATTATTGCATTTATTAAGAAAAATTATCTGAGCAATTCATTGTTTATTAACAAGCTCCACTTGGGATTACTTATTTTTATTATCTTTTATTTTTCATTATAATATTAAGTTAATGACTTGAATGTAATTTTTGTTACTATGAGCTACTATTCAAAAGGGCTTTTTTGAAATAATTTCAAACTTACATAAAAATTAGAAGAATAGTATAAAAGATTCTATATACCCTTTACACAGATTGAACCATTGTTAACATTTACCTTGCCTTTATCATTCTCTCTCTCTCTCTCTCTCTCTCTCTCTCTCTCTCTTTCTCTCTCTCTCTCTCTCTCTCTCTCTCTCTCTATATATATATATATATATATATATATCCTAATTTTGTCATCTAAACCATTTTAGAGTAAGTGGCAGCCATTATTCATACCTCTTTACCTTTAAACGTATCATTAATCTTTCAGTATGTATTTCCTAAGAACAAGAACACTCTAGTACATAATTACAATACAGTTATGAAAATCAGAAAATTTAAAATTAATACAATACTGTTATCTAACCTATAGCCAATATTCAAATGTTGCCAATTGCTGCAATTTTGAAAGGGCTCTTTCTAATTAGTATAAAAATCAAAGTTATGACATCTTTGCATCACCCTAAATATTTTGGGAGCATTAGAATTAATATATTAAGTGATTGCTTTAAGAGTTGGATATGATATTTTCTTGCATTTCCATTTTTCAAAATTGTGAATTACATCAATCAAAAGGAATAAGTATTGTTTTGCTTATAATAGTTTTATACTGGACCTGTATTTCTATATATTCTAAATTTCCTAGCTAATCCGTTAAGCTTAATTACTCAGAGAATGTTCAGACAATGTAACCTTTATTCATTGTTTCCTTAAATATATGTTTATTTTGGAAAACCTCAGATGATTAACAATAGAAGGACATGCCTGAATGAACCATAAGTTTATAGAATGTTTTTCAAAATAATTAGTAATATGGGAACTATAAAATAAGACCCCAACAAATTACCATTTTGTGTCACTAGACTGACAAATAATAAGAAACTTGATGATACCAAAATTTGGAGAGGATGTGGATCAATGGGAAATCTTATCCACTGTTGATGAAACTATAAAAAGTTCTTTAATTTAAAATAGTTTAGAATTATCCTGCCAAGGGAGATATTTGCATATTTTACAATTCTGGATTTCCCTCCTAAGTATAATACATTAGAAAACTCTTGCTTGTGTACACAGGGAGATATGTACAAAAAGTTCATCATGGCCCTCTTTATAGAAGCAAAAACTGGAAATAATCTAGATTTTGTCAACATGATAATGGTTAAATAAAATTAAAGTATGCCAACATCCAGGAGCATTATTCAGCAATGACTATAAGAAAAAAACTGCTATGTGCAACTGCATGAATAAATTTTGGGACCATAATGTTAAAGGAAAAAAGTAGCCCTAGAGTACTGTATATTATATGATTCCATCCATTAGAGTTCAAAAACAAAGAAATCCAAACGGTATTTTGTTTGGACAAAAACACATAAGTGATTAAATATCCTTTTTTTAAAATTAAGTTGATGATAAAACATAAAATTTAAGGTATGTTTAACTTTTGGTGGGGAGATAAGTGGATGTGACAATGTAGCAGTAGGTAAAGAAAGCTTTTGATAATGGCCTTGTTCTTAAGTTTAGTATTGGGCTCAAAAGTATTCAGTCTATTTTTTTCCTATGCAATTTGTACACATGTATATTATTTTATGTGCATTAACTATAATATTAAAATGATATATTTGTTTTTCAGAGGTCTGCCTGAACCTTCGAGATCCTCCAACTAATATAAATATCATTCCAGAAGGGCAGGTGAAACCAGAATGGAGATTGCCAAAGTTAAATCATCGCTTTATCACAAGGTAAAATAATTTCTTATAAAATATTTTATAGGTCAGTTTTGCTCAGTGGCTAGAGCGTCGGCCTGTGGACTGAATAGTCCCAGGTTCGATTCTGGTCAAGGGCATGTACCTTGGTTGCGGGCACATCTCCAGTAGGGGGTGTGCAGGAAGCAGCTGATTGATGTTTCTCTCTCATGGATGTTTCTAACTCTCTATCCCTCTCCCTTCCTCTCTGTAAAAAATCAATAAAATATATTTTTAAATAAAAATAAAAAAATAAAATATCCTATATAATAAAAGGCTAATATGCAAATAGACCAAACAGTGGAACAACCGAACAACCAGTTGCTGTGATGTGCACTGACCACCAGGGGGGCGTGTGCAGAACATGGCGGGTATTGGCCGCGATGGGATGGTGGAGTTGGTGAACGGGGGGGGGGGGGGGGGGGCGCGGGGGTGGTGACCAGACCAAGGACCAAGGCGGGGCGCCAGTTGCTGTCATTGGGGCAAGCCTCTGGTCATTGGGGCAAGCCTCTGGTGGTTACTGCAAACTCTTTGCTCCCTTGCGCCACAGTCCTGCCCAGCGCTCGCACCTGTCACCGGTGCCAGCCACACTCGCACCCACTGCCAGGGCCGGCCCTGCTTGCACCCACAGCCGGCACTGGAGCCAGCGCTCACATCCACTTCTAGTTCCCAGCGCCAGTCCTGATCACTTGGCACCATCATGAGGTGCCAGCAGCAACTACCGGCCCTGATCACCCCTGAGGACTTCTCCACCTCCTCCTGCTCCTGAGGGATGATCAGGGCAGCAGCCGCCACTCACACCTGCTGATGGTGCCAGCCCCGCTTGCACCCACTACTGGCGCCCATCCCAATCACCCCGTACTGTCAGCAGATGCAAGCGGGGCCAGCACCATCAGTGCGTGGGAGCAGAGGCTGCCAGATCTGGGCTGCTGGCAGACAGGGGACTAGGGGCCGCAGCAGGAGGGGATGGGCAGGGGTATGGAGAATGGACCAAGACCGGCCCCTGTGCCTACTGCAGCCTTGTGGTCCACAGTTCCTTTCAAGGTGCACAAATTCATGCACTGGGCCCCTAGTCTTAAATAATTTTCAATGTTAGTCACTGAAATAAAATATTATAATTTGCTCAAAATCTACCCGAAATTTTGCTATATTAATTATGTAAATGTACATTTACACAACCATAGTTCTAAAATACTTTTTCACTGTTTAAAGATACAATATTTATTTAACTATTTGTTTTTTTAGGTCAGAACTGGATGATATACCAGAAAAGCAAATCTGTGATGTTGTTGGCGTTTTAGTTTTTGTAGGAAGGGTCCAGCGGTTAAAAAAGAAAGGTAAGCTTTTGAAATTGCAAGTAATAAAAAGGATTTTAGTGAATAGTTCTGTGTTTATATGTGCATAATCAGTTACCTTCATTTATTCTAATATTATATCTATATAGAATACGGTGAAGATTTTTGGTCATATCGCTGGATTCACATTGCTGACGGGACTTCAGAACAACCATTCATTGTGAAACTGTTTTCTACATCTCAGCCAGAAATCTTTGAAAATATTTGCCCAAGTACTCAGTTCCAATATCTTTATCTTTTTATTTTTTCAAGTGGGAGCATTAACTTTAAAAATGTTAAACTTAATTATAGAGGGTCATGATACTGAGTTAGCAAATTCAAGCTATCTGATATCATGTTTAATTTTTTCTATATTAATATTATATTTGGTATTATGTGTTAACCACCTTCTGGTTTTTTATTCAGAATTAATTTGGGATTGAACTAGTTTTTCAGAAAATAGGTGCTCTTATTCTCATTGTTAGCATTTCAGACATAAAAGCATGAGATTCAGTGAAACTAAAACATAGGTAGTCAATTTCCTTTGTATATACTTGGAAAGACAATGAAGACTTTCCTAATGTTGAATTAATTGGTAGGAGATTGGCAGGCTGTGTAATTAGATTTGACAATGATAAGTATGATTCCATTTGAGTATTAAATTAGTATTAGGTTGGTGGTGTTATAACAGCTGGTTAATATTTTACTTACTTTGTCATTGACCTTTTCCCCTTGCATTCATTTAGATATATAGGTGTTTTTTCCTCACTAATTTTATTTATTTGAAAACATTTTAGAAGTACCCTATTATACATTTTATATAACAAGTTAGTTTTTATATCTATTATAAGAAAAAAGTATACATAATACTTTTTAACAACTTCAGTGAATTTTTCCTTCTTTGATTTTGTAGTATCAAGCTATTTTAGATATGATGTGCTATTTTACTATTTTCTAAATGATTGATTATATGAATTAAATACCGATTGTTAAATATTTGTTACATTAGGGAAACTCTCAGTCTTGGCTACATGCAATTTTTTTTAAATCAGCAACATTCCCAGCTGGCGTGGCTCATTGGTTGAGCGTCGACCTGTGAACCTGGAGGTCGAGGTCATGGTTTGATTCCCGCTCAGGGCACATACCCCAGTTGAGGGCGTGATCCCCAGTGTGGCACATGCAGGAAGCAACTGATAGATGATTCTCTCTCATTGATCTTTCTACCTCTCTCTCCCTCTCCCTCTCCCTCTCCCTCTACCTTTCTCTCTGAAATCATTTAAAAATACGTTTAAAATAATAAAAATAAAATCAGCAACATGGTAGAAATTATAGGTCAGGAGACTTGGAGACCTTGTACAGAGCTGTTCTGCTACCTCTTTATTCTCTATTGCAAAACAGTATTATACACTATGCAGATATTATCTCATTATATTCCACCCTCTATTTGTGAGATTATTTTTTTAAGTACAACTTACTATAACCAAACCTTACCCCAACTACTGGGGGAGAGGGCAGAAAGACAGCTTTAGCAAAAACAAAGGCCTGGTCTTCCAAGGTGAGCGGGGCTATATAACTTCTCCAAAGGCATAAATGATTGGTAGCAATGACCTCTGGTAACAATTCTATTACCTCATGTTAGATGAGTTTTATTAACAGGTTTCTCTTTGTAGTCACTTTAAACAACAAACTGACACAAGTTTTACAAAATGCTTTTTCACAGAAATGTTGCCAAGCATGCATGTTCTATTTCTTGTGAGAATATATATATATATAAAGGTTTGTATGGACTTTGGTGAGATTTTCTCTAATATAGCAATTGACAACAATTACAATTTATTTTCATCTTTTGACCAAAAATGAAGGGGGAAAAATCACTTAATGAATGGTGAGTATTAAGGGGGTTTTAGGCCTATGAAGGGGAACATGACTAAGGGTCTTCTGTAGTAATACCCAAATTAGTTGGTAGTAGGGGACCTGTTTTAATTTTTAAGAAAGTGAAGAACTAAGGGAAACTAATATTGAATGTTTACTATGTATCAAATGCTCATAGATGTTATCTCATTTTGTACTCCCAGTTACCTTTTAAAGAGTTGGTGTTTTTTTACAAATTTATAGGTAAGGAAACAAAGGTCCAGTGGGTTAAGTAATCTCCTGGATGTCAAACAGCTATTAAGTGTTAGATATGAATGTATGATTATTTTTTAATCTATACCCGAGGATATTTTTTCCATTGATTTTTCAAAGAGAGGGTAAGGGAGGGAGTGAAAAAAAATATCAACGTGAGAGAGATGGCCAGGGTGAACATGCAGCCGAGGTACATGCCCTCGGCCAGGAATCAAACCCATGACCCTTGGATTCACAGGCCGATGCTCTAACCACTGAGAAAAACAAGCCATGTCTGATTTATTTTTTTTTTTAATATATATTTTATTGATTTTTACAGAGAGGAAGGGAGAGAGATAGAGAGCTAGAAACATCGATGAGAGAGAAACATCGACAGGCTGCTCTGCACATCTCCCACTGGGGATGTGCCCGCACCAGGTACATGCCCTTGACCGGAATCGAACCTGGGACCCATGACCTTGGATTCACAGGTCGATGCTCTACTCACTGAGAAAATTTGGCGATGTCTGATTTTTAACAGCCATGAAATTAGAATAAGATATTTTGTTAATGCTACTCTATCAACATCTTTAACCATGAATACTCACATATTTGTACAGTTTTTTGAAATAAAAGAAACACAATACATATTAAGAGAACTATTCTTAGTCATTTGAACAGATTTTCTTTATTTTTATTGCTATAAAATAAAGATCTAGTAAATATAAGATGAAGAAAATGAATTTATATATCATGCTCTAGGAAAATATTTATTCTCAAGTGAGAACTTACTGTTATTGTGAGATTAGAAGTATTTACATTTATTTCTTTATTTCCTGGTTTGCAAGACTATAACTGTTTTGCCATGTAAGGAGTTAAAATTTTTAAAAACTGTTGGATTAATGAAATTTTCCCAAATAAACTGATAGATATTTAAAAATAATTGATAGCTCTTGAAAGTAATTCAAGTCTGAAGACATAATCTTATTTTCAGTTATTCTTTTTAGCCTATCAAGTTTGTTAGCAAGGTGAACAAAAATAATAGGCAACAAGCCTTGTCATTGAGGCTTAAAGTCTACTTAAGGTCAACATATATAAACTATTTTTCCTAAGCAAATTGAAATTAATACTGTATAGCCTTATCTGGTGGAAGGAGTCAGAGTACTTTAGGAATCAATGTTAAATTGAATTAATCAGTGAAAACATCTTGGAGAAACTAAGCCTTTTTTCTCTTTAGGAAATAATTGTTCACATTGTATTGTGTGCCCCATTAGAAAGACTCTTGCACTCTTCAACTGTGCAGCAAGTAGTGACTTCAGTTAGGTGCAGCTGTTGTATATTCTAAAGGAAAAGTAAGTGTTAAGTCCCTTATCTAAAGGAAAAGGTAAGTGTTAATCCTTGTTGCTTCAAGTGTGGTCAAGGGATTGGCAGCACTAGTATCACCTAGGAACTCATTAGAAATGGGAATCTCATATCCTACCCTAAAACTACTGGATCTTAATTTGCATTTTAATAATTGTCCTAGGTGATTTCTATATTTATTAACTTTTGAGAAGCACTGTGTTAAATCCTGATCTTGGTATGTCCTCTTTGAAATGCAGAAGTTCTTTCATAAGTGTTTTCATTTTCTACAGTGACATATTTCATGTGTACACAGTTGAAAGTTGTCAGAAATAACAATCAAGTACCTAAACTGCTTTACCTCACCACTACAAATGAGAGTCAAATATTTATTATCGGTGAGCAATGTCTTTGTATATGCTCTACTGGAAATGTAATATATTTTCTCTTCATTAAATTAACTTTTACATGACAACATTCAACCACAAGATAGTTCTATTTTCATCTTCTTTATCTCTATAAGAACGTTTTAAAAGAATACTTAGCCTATGAAATATATTTCTTCTAGATTATTTATGATTGAAGCAATGCTTTTGTGACTCACTGGAGAATTGTGTTTATATCCTTTGGCTAACTTTAATTCTTATTTGCTATAAGGTAGATAATCATAAATTATTTGATAGATTGAGAACTGTTAGGCCCTCCATCACAATATGGATTCAATTAGCAATATTTTAAAATACTGAGTAAAACAAAAATGTGCATCAAATTATGGCCTCAGGATCTCACAATTTACTTACATAGCAAGAAGAGTCACACTACTTGTCTATAAGTACATTATTTTTCTCTGTTCCCTTTGATAATGGGGTCAAAACAATAAAGATAAAAGGTTCCAGAGTAGTGAGGGAGTACTGTGGAATGGTGTGTTTACTAGAATGCTACCATATTGGTGATTAGGAAATTTGTCAAGAGTTCTAGGAAGTGTGTAACACACATCTTTGTCAACACCTCATTTTATAAATACTAATAACATCAGATGTAAATAGCACTTTTAAGTGTGCTTTAAGAAAATGAATTTAAACATTGTGCTTTACTGCCTGGCCAGTATGGCTCAATGGTTGTACATCGACTCATGAACCAGGAGGTCACTGTTAGATTCCTGGTCTGGGCACATGCCTGTGTTGCAGGTTCAATCTCTAGAAGGGAGCGTGCAGGAGGCAGCTAATCGATGATTCTCTCTTATCATTGATGTTTCTATCTCTACCTCTCCTTTCCTCTCTCTGAAATCAATGTCACCCAAATAAAATTTAATTTTAAAAAATGTTGAGCTATACTTATAGGCAATTTAGTTCATACATGATGCAATATATTCAAGATAATACATGATTTAAAAATCAATTTTAAAGAAAATGCCAACCATTTGGATAGTTAGAAAAATCCCAGTTATTAGTTTCTTTTTCATATGGCTTTTTAGTATCCTGTAGACAGCTACAGTTTAGTCCATTAAAACTCTAGTATGCATATTGAGTACAATTATCCTCTACATAGAGAATCAGTGAACATGACTTGTTTTCTTGGTGATATAAGAAACTGTTTTAATATTAAACTGTATTTATACAAAAAAAGTCCATTCAGTTTATTACAGTAAGTTGGTTTACACTCCCCCCTTATTTTTCTCTTTACCCTTCTTTCAAATAGGTCATAGAGGCCAGCCATATGCCAATGATACCAAAGTAAAAAGTTTTATTCACCGGATTAAAACAAAGACTGATTCTGGGGAAATGAAGAATACTGTTATTGGAGGATATTACCCCTATCCCCCAGTGCCAGAGACATTTTCGAAGTATAGTACTTCTGTAAAAGGTACTAATAAAATTGATACTTTTTAAATGATATTTTTATATGCTACATGTATGGTGTATGAAATATCAGTTAGTCTTCTTTATTCTTTTATTATATGGGGGTGAGCCAAAATGTAGCAACACTTCCTGATAATAGTGCTGTCTTTCTGAAGTTCTAAAGATATCATGTGTCCTAAAGTTAATATTTTCATTTTATTTGACTGGAAGAAAAGAAGGAACATAGACGATGACTAAATAGAGATAATATCTCAATTTAATGTCATTGAGATATACTCTGACCTTAGTAGATTTCAACTCCTATGACATTACTTAGAGAAACTAAGATATCAGAGGAAACACTGGGCAATTTGATATCAAGATATTGAAAACTGCATTATGCTACTCTTATGAAATAGTATAGTATTTAGATGATGATAGGTCAGTATTTCAAAATTTCTCTTTTCCCCCCAAAACCATGCAATTATCCCACAGTTTTAAAAAACAATATACTTAAGTGTTAAACTTTTCAATTGTCATATCTAATTGTAATAAAATTAATTAACATTAGGCCTCTCTATCAGTACTCATTTTGCATCTCATTGATTTGGGTGTCATTTTTATTTAAAGGTAGCACTCGATTGTGTTATATCCAATATACAGGGGTGTGCAAAAGTAGTTACATTTGTGAGTATGCAAAACAGTTTATTCTTATATTATTATTTATTAATTATTGTATTATTTCCCATATGAACAACTGTAAACCTACTTTTGCTCCACCCTGTATTGGCATCCTTTTGCACTTTATAATGCCGTCAATTTGTAGTATATATTTAGAAATATTAAAATGTGTATGTCTATGCAGTGGCTAGGCAACACTTTTTAGTCTGAAATATAATCTATAAATTACATTCAATATACAAAATTTCTGTTTCAAATTAAAATTCCAGACTAGAAGACTGTATCATGATTTAACTGATTAATATATTTTGCCTATTTTACAAAAATTACATAAGAGGATGCCAAATATAAACACAAAGCCTCACAAATTTAAATTATGTGGCAAGTTTATAATTTCAAGTTGTATTTAGATTGCAAATCTGATTTTTATTTTTATCATTTCAGTTCTTTAAAATTTACAATTTCCTTGGAATTACTCTTTTGCAGTTCAGTCGCTCCTGACAGCTATAAGTGAAGTGAGGAAGGAGATTGAAAACTTGCAGTATAGGGAACAAAAACGCATTGCAATTCAGGGGATAATTACTATTATAAAGTATGTACCCCATAGCAGTGCAACTGGAAGTTCCTCAGCATCAGAAACAGTTCAGGTATGGCACCAGAGAATTAATAGTATATTGCTGAAAACGCTGTGATCATAATTACAGTTGCTACCTTGTTCATTTTATTCAGAACTCACATTCATTGATTCTTTTTTTATTATTATTCTTAATGGTGTAAAACCAAGAGCGGGGGAAAGATCATTGTTGCTTTTTGTTTCTTTTTTCTGTCATTTATTTATTTTGGAGCAGGCTGGGCAGAAGGTCATAGCCTCTGATATTTCCCAAGGCCCTCAAAATTTGGTATCTTGATTTTGCTTTCTACACAATTTAAGCCTATCTTGATTGTTATTATTTAAATTCCCAAGTGGTATATATTATTACAGGCATCCTTGGAAATATTGTGGGTTCAGTTCCAGATCACTGCAATAAAGCACATATTGCAATTAAACAAGTCACATGAACTTTTTGTTTTCTCAGTGCATATAAAAGTTATTTTTACACTATACTATAGTCTATTAAGTGTGCAATAGCATTATAATTTAAAAACAGTTTACATAACCTTAATTTAAAAAATACTATATTGCTGAAAAGATTAACCATCATCTGAGCCTACTGGAAAAATGGTGCCAATAGATTTGCTCCACACTGGGTTGCCTCAAACATTTAATGTGTAAAAAACACAATATCTGCAAAGCACAATAAAATATGTCTACATATTATTTTCTTACATTTTGTCAAGACCAGAACTTTAGGAACACTTCCACAAGAAGTTTTTACCTCTGTATCTGGCGTGGCAGTCTTAGCCAGGTTGTATAAGACACAAGTTCTGAAATCTAGGGATAATTAAGACCAAAAAAAAGTTAATTTTTCCTATGAGTTTATTTTTTTTAATTATTTCTAGGATTGCTATTCTTTTTTTAAGTTTTATTGGAACACAACTGCAGTTATTTGTTTAAATGTTTATGGCTCCTTTTTAAAATTTAAATATATTTTTATTGATTTCAGAGACAAAGGGAGAGGGAGAGAGAGATAGAAACATCAATGATAAGAGAGAATCATTGATCAGCTTCCTCCTGCATATCCCCTGCTGGGCATGTGCCCTTAACCAGAAGGGAACCTGGGACCCTTCAGTCCACAGGCCGACACTCTATCCACTGAGCCAAACTGGCTAGGATTTCTGTTCTTACAGAAATACACATCTAATCCAACTTTTCAGCTATAGTAATATAAGAGGGACTTTTGTTTATTTTTCTTTTAAAAATATTTTAATAGAAGATGGATTAGGACAAATCAACTTTATAAAAGCACTATTATTATTTCAACATGTCACAACTCTTAAGATTATGAAAAATGAGTAAACTAAAATTGTAGACTTTTAAGATAAATAATTTCAATGAATTAGTTTTAAATGTTTTCTCTAAATTTTTGGTTTCAGAATGTTAACCAACCCTCAACATCCCAAACAGCAATAAAAGAAAGTCAAAGTCAGGAACTAGATGGTAAACAGCATCAAGATGATGGTTCTGTGAGTTGTCAAACTACATGTACAAGTTTGAGCCCTCCCAAGAAAAAAAGGATTCTTCAAGGGCCATTTGCCAAACTGTAAGTCATTTGTATTAAGTACATACATAGAATATTAGGTTGTTTTGTTTTGTTTTGTTTTGTTGGTTTCTTTTTATCCTGTAAAATGCATAATTGTACTAGAAGCTGTATTAGTTTTCTAGGGCTGACGAAATACAAGATCAAGGTATTGATAGGGTGAATTCCTTATAAGAGATGTGAGGTAGAATCTGTTCCATGACTCTCACCTAGCTTCTGGTGGTTTACTGGCAATATTTGGTATTTCTTAGCTTATAGAAGAATCACCCCAATCTGTGCCTTGGTCTTCTTCACCTGGCATTCTCCCTATGTGTAAATTTGTGTCCAGATTTCCACTTTTTATCAGGACACCATCCACATTGGATTATGGATCCATTCTGGGGTACTGGTCTACTCCAGTATTATATTGTCTTAACCAACTGCATCTTCAATGACCCTATTTTTAAATGTCACATTCTCACTGTCCTTGAAAATGTAATCAGTTACATATTATTAGTCTGTCCTCTGGCCCCTAAAAATTTATGTCCTCACATGCAAAATACATTCAGCCCATCACAACATCCCCAAATGTCTTAACCCATACCAGCGTTGACTCTAAGTCCAAAATCTCATCTAAATATCATCTAAATCATGTGTGGATGAGATGCAGGCTGATTCATCCTCAGACAAAATTATTTTCTATCTGTAACTTGTGAAACTACACATTATCTATCCAAAATACAATCGGTGGGACAGGCATTCCAAAAGGAAGAAACTGGAAGGAAGAAAAGGATCATGGGTCACAAGCAAGTTTGAAACCTAGAGGATCAGTTCCACTTGATTTTAAGGCTCCAGAATTATCCTGTTTGGCATGATACTATGTCCTCTGGGCTCAACAGGTGACAGCCTGAGTGGGTAGCTGGCTCTGTACTCTGGAACCGAGGTGATGGCTCTACCTTCATAAAGAAAAGGCCTTACCCTCAGGGTTATTCTTCCCTTTTTTAAAAAGAATATAACACATGATCACAGCTGGATATACCTATCAGTTCATTTCCTGACTTAGAATTCCAGAAACCCAACAGCCTTTCTTCATTTCCTCTCACCTATATCCCTTCAGTCTAAGCCAGCAGTTCTCAACCTGTGGGTTGCGACCCCTTTGGCGGTCAAACGACCCTTTCACAGGGGTCGCCTAAGACCATCCTGCATATCAGATATTTACATTATGATTCATAACAGTAGCAACATTACAGTTATGAAGTAGCAACAAAAATAATTTTATGGTTGGGTCACAACATGAGGAACTGTATTTAAAGGTCCAGAAGGTTGAGAACCACTGGCTAAGCTAACAGCATGCCAAATGAGATAATTGATTGGGCCCACAGGTCACAAGCCTAATGTGTTGGGCAAATGGTTCGCCAACAATACCCTTGGTGTTCTATCCAGAGCAAACTTTCTCATTTTTTAAAATTGAGTAGGTGGAGAATTTTCCAAGTATTGAAGTGTGGTTCCTTTTTTCTTAACAATTCTCTTTTCAAATGTCTCTACCCTCTCATATTTTACTATAAGCAGCAAGGAAAAACCAAGCTGTGCCTTCAACACTTTGTAAGTTCAGCTAAATATGCAAGTTCATTGCATACAAGTTTCACTTTCCATCCAACAAAACACAATTCTGCCAAGTCCTCTGCTATTTTATAACAAGGATCACCCTTCATCCAGTTTCAAATAAGACATTATTTCTTTCTGAGACTTCACCAGAAGCACCATTTACATTCATATTTCTAGCAACATTCTGTTCATGACAATATGTGTTTTCCCTAAGAAACAGAAGCTTTGTCTATAGCTTTGTTCTTTTCTTTCTGAGTCTTCAACAGATTCTCCTTTAAAATCCATATTTCTAGCAACATTCTCTTCAGAGCAGTTGAAGTTTATTCTGTTAATGAATCTCAAAACTCTTTCAGCCTCCACTTAATACCTAATTCCAATGCCACTTCCACATTTTTAATTATTTGTTACAGCAGCACCCTACTTCCTGGTACTGAAATCTGTATCAGTTTTCTAGGGCTGCTATGACAAAGTACCACAAGTTGTATGGCTTAAACAACAGAAAATTATTGTCCTGCAGTTCTTTAAGCTACAACTTTAAGATTAAGGTGTCAGCAGGGTTGGTTCCTTTTGAAGGCTGTAAGGAAGAATCTGCCCCATGCCTCTCCTCTAGAATCTGGTGATTTGCTGACAATCTTTGACATTCATGGGCTTGTAGAAACATCACCCCAATCTGTATCTGTGTTCAAATATCCCTTTTTTATAAAAACATCTGTCATATTAGATTAGTGGCCCACGCTACTCCAGTATGACTTCATCTTAACTAATTACATCTTCAGTGACCCTGTCTCCAAATAATTTCACATCTGCCTTGCTCAGCATGGACTAATTGAAAATTAATTTAAAATGGGAAGTAACCCAAAAATAAACATTTTAATTTATGTATTCATTATATTTTAACTTAAAATACTATAAATGTATTTAATTTAAAATAATTTGTTCATCAGTTGTTTAAGCAAGGATCTTTTATACATAAACTTCTCCATTATGAATTGTATATAATTAACAGTTTTGGTTTCTTTGCAGTAGCAACAAAACTGAGAAACTAAGTTGAGAAAGAAGGTGAAGTACGGAATCATTTAGATTTTTTTTTTAATTAACACTATTTTTTTATAATAGCTATGTCCAATCAGACTCAGTTTGGGGTTATATACTGAGCTTGTATCTGGCTATGTGAGCTAGAAAATTAAATCATTGATTTTGGGTTCTTCCTTTCTAATATATGCATATTTGCTATACATTTTTCTCCATGCACTGATTTAGCCACCTCCTACTTCATTATCAGTTAGTTCAAACATTTTTTTTGGTTTTCAGTGTGATTCTCTTCAGACTCATATCATTTAATTTCCAATCACTTGAGAATCTCTAGTTGCATTTTTAAAATTTAATTCAGCTTATCTTCACTCTGGAAAGAGAAAATATTCTGAACTATTTTAATTATTTGAAATGTGTTGAAAGGCTTTTCTTAAATTGTACATGTGGTCAATTTTGGTAAATGTTTTTTCATATGCACTCAAAAAATGTGAATTCCATCATCCTTGAGTGCAGTGTTCTATACATGTCAGTTAGGTCTAAGTATACTAATTGTGTTGATTACATATTTTTAATATTTATTGTTGACAGTGTTACAGATGCCCCCCCCCCCTTTTTACTTCTCATTGCCCTGCTCCACCAGGATCCCACCACCCGCCCCCCGGCCTTCACCACCCTATTGTCTGTCTATGGTAATACATATCTACATATATATAAGCCTAAGCGACCATTATGACTGAACAACCAGAACAATTGGTCAACTAGTCACTATGGTGCGCACTGACCACCATGGAGCAGACACTCAATGCAGGAGCTTCCCCCTGGTGGTCAGTGTGTTCCCACAGCCAACCTCCTGCAGCCCCTCCCTCCACATGGCCCCCATTGGCCCCTGGTGCTAAACCTTTCGTAGACAACCTGCTTCTGGGTTCAGGTTTCATATGTAGCAGAGCAGATCCCTCGATGCGATCTATTGAAAGTCAGCCCTCAACACAAGGGTTCATTTGATTTCTTGTTCATTTATTTTGATTTTTAGATTTAATTGTTCATAGATATGTATTTACTGACATTTTATTGTTTATATTTCTTGTTTCTTCTTCTTCCTCTACCTCTTACTCCTCCTTTCTTCAAAGAACATGCTTCAACATTTCATATAATGCTGATTTGATGGTAATGAACTCCTTTAGCTTTTTCTTTTCTGTGAAGCTCTTTATCTGACCTTCAATTCTCAATGACAGCTTTGCTGGGTAAAGTAATCTCCATTGTAGGTCCTTGCTTTTCATCGCTTTGAATATTTCTTGCTACTCCCTTCTGCCCTGCAAAGTTTATGTTGATAAATCAGCTGACAGACATATGGGCTCTCCCTTGTAGATAACTTACTGCTTTTCTCTTGCTGCTTTTAAGATTCTCTCTTTGTCTTTAACCTTTGGCATTTTAATTATGATGTGTCTTGGTGTGGGCCTCTTTAAGTTCATCTTGCTTAGGATTCTCAGGTCATCTACAAATGGTTTAGCACCAGGGGCCCCTGGTTTAGCACCAGGGGCCAATGGGCTTCCTATACTTGTGTCTATTTCTTTCACCAGGTGGGGGAAGTTTTCTGTCATTATTTCCTCAAATATGTTTTCAATTCCTTGCTCTTTCTCTTCTCCTTCCAGCACCCCCATGATACAAATGTTGGTATGTTTGAAGTTGTCCCAGAGGCTCCTTACACTATCTTCATATTTTTTATTCTTTTTTAAAATATGTTTTTATTGATTTCAGAGAGGAAGGGAGAGGGAGAGATACAAACATCAATGATGAGAGAGAACCACTGATAGGCTGCCTCCTGCACGCCCCCAACTTGGGATTGAGCATGTAACCCTGGCTTGTGCCTGCAACCCTGCCATGTGCCCTTGACCTTAATTGAACCCAGGACCCTTCAGTCTGCATGCTGGCACTCTATCGCTGAGCCAAACCAGATTGGGCCATATTTTTCATTATTCTTTTTTTGTGCTCTTCTGATTGGGTGTTTTTTGCTTCCTCATATTCAAATTGTTGATTTGATTCTGGGCTTCCTCTACTCTACTGTTGATCCCCTATAAATTATTCTTTATTTCAGTTAGTGTATCCTTTATTTCTGACTGGTCCTTTTTTGTGTCTTTGATGTTCTCACTAATTTCCTTGAAATTCTCACTAAGTTCCTTGAGCATCCTTAAAACCATTGTTTTGAACTCTGTATCTAGTAGTTTGCTTGTTTCTATTTCATTTACTTATTTTTCTGGAGATTTCTTCTGTTCTTTCATTTCTGTCATGTTTCTTTGTCTCTGCATTTTGGCTGCTTCCCTGTGTTTGTTACTATGCATTAGGTAGAGCTGCTATGTCTCCTAGAATTGGTAGAGTGGCTTTGTATAATA